CGCATCTGACTACTTGGCGACCAGCTTCACCCACACGTAGCAGGTCTTGCGGTCTTTCAGCAGCAAGAAGTACAGGCTGCCATCCTTGGAAGTCACGCGGAACGGCCCGCATTGGTCGATGTGCACGACGGCCAGCACGTCGTCGACATCGGAGCCTTGGTCGGGGAAGGTGTGCCGCGCCAGTTTTCCGCCGACGCACGAGACACACGGGGAGTCGGCGTCCGTTGCCGTCTTGAGGTCTAGCCCAATGGCGACCTCGTTCTTCGCCGAGCTATGTATGGTGTCCATGCCAACATGTGCAAGCCGCGCATGCATCCGGTCTGGCGTCGACTTCGTCTTCGAGACGATCGCCCACAGAGCCACAACCTCCGTCGTGGGTGACGTCGACCGCGTTGAGCAGGGACGCAGATCGGTGCAGAGGACACGCCCGGTGTACGTCGCCCGACCGAGCACCACTCCGGCCGCAGAGACGAGCATCATTCCTTCTCCGTCCTCCTGCAGCTTCACGCCGTGCTCCTTCAGCTGGCCGGCGGAAAGCAGGTTTGCCCGCACACCTAGAACGTACAACACGTCGGGGATGAGCACCTCCTTCCCGGCCTCTCCTTGCAGAGCGACGGTGCCACGGCTCTGGACATCCTGCAGCGCCCCATTGAAGCCGCGCACATGCCTGATGGCGCCGCTCGGCTGCAAGTCGACGAAGGCTTCCTTCGTCCCCATCAGGTGGTGGGAGCAACCGCTGTCGAGCAGGACCACCGCCGGGTTCGCCCGCACAGCCGCCGCCACCGGCTGGAAGTCCTCTCCGGCCTCCGGTGCCAGAGAGATGGTCGGCTCCACGACGCCGACCAGCGAGCACGACGCCGTCTTGTCGTCTCGCCCCTTGCCGCCAGCAGGGGAGTCGGCGTCCTTCGCGGAAGTCGATGTCTTGGTCGACTTCTTCTCCTTGCGCGGATCGTTTCCTCCACGACGAGGACGACGGCTGCTAGACCTCCCACGGCCTCCCTTAGCATCGTCGTCATCGGAGTCACTGCGGTTGGGACACTCGAAGGAGAGATGGTCGAGGTCGCCGCACAGCCAGCACTCCCGACGTCGACCTCCTCCGCCCCAACCGCTGTCCTTGGTCGACTTCTTCTTGTCGACCTCCTTGGCCGGCTTCCAGCCACTGCTACCACCACCGCCAGACTGCCCACGCTGCCCCGGTCGGCCTCCTTGCTTCGCTGAGGTGACCAAGTTCGCCTGCGCCAAGAGCTCCTGCGACCGCTCAGCCTCCTGCATCGCCTCGTCCTGCAGGATATACGAGGTCACGTTGTCCTCGTTGAGCGTCGCCCTTGTGCTCGGCGCCATAGACAGCCGCTTCAGCAGGTTGTAGCTGCTAGAGAGACCCTGCATGACATGGGTGATGTACGACGCCGTGGAGTACTGCGCGCCGGCCATCCTGATAGTGGCGAGAATTCGCCGGGCTCGGTTGCAGTAGTCAGTCGCTGTCTCCTCGTCACCCATACGCAGGTGCGTCAGCTGTCCCTCCAGCTGGGCGATGAACAGGTCGTCGGTGACCTGGTACGTCGACTCAATGAAGTGCCACGCCCGGTGGCCGGCGTCGATGTACTCCCGGCACCACTTCAAGGCGATCTGCACGCCCGGCGAGCAGCACCGCGAGATGACCGTGAAGGTCAACAGCTGCACGGCGCGAAACTCCGCACGCAGGTCGAGGTGGTGCTCCCCCGGCGTCGCCACGGTCCCTCGGGCGAAGCCGATCAGCCCGGCCATCTCCAGCTGGGGCTCGATGGCTTCCTTCCAGGTGAGTATGTCGGGTCGACCGACCAGCGGAGGGGTGACCGAGATCGTGTCCGGCGTAAACTTGAAGTAGCCGTAGCTCGGCGCAATCCCACCTGCCGTCACCTGGGATGCTGACATCGGCGACAATCCGCTTCGTCGTCCTCCGACGTCGCCCAGCGAGGAGCCTGCAGCTGCCGACGACTGCACCCCTCGCGTCTGAACGCCGCCGACTTCACCGGCGTGTATCACACCTTGGTGCCTCGACGTGCCTCCCACACTGCTGCCGACCTGACCTCCACCGGCGTTGACGCCCACATCGACGCCGCCGTCGTTGTTCACCGGTCGAGGAGAGGAAGGTCGAGAAGGGGGGTGCTCCGCTGCCCACACGGAGCGGAGTCCGGCTTCGACGACTGCCTAGGGTATCGCCCCATACTCTTGGGCCTCATGGCGTCTCCTCGCATCCTCCAGCCGTCCCTCCAGGGTATCCATCACCTCGGCGTCGCCTACGCGCACGCTAGTGACTGCACGGCTGCCGGTCTACGAATACGATCGGTATGTGCTAAGTCGGCTAGACTGAACTACGTCGCGGTGTCCTCCGCGCTCACCGCACCATGCGGAGATAACTGCAGCAATGGGAGCTAGGCTACGGGCTAGGCACGTGTGCTCGTGTGATCTCTGCGTTCGTTCTCTTAGTCGTTTCCTTGTGTTCACGCTTCTTGCTGGTTCACGGGGGGAATTGGCAAGAGTTTTACTAGGAAAGCATAACAACAATGATAACAACAACATTGGCAACATAGACTACATCAGAGCTAGCTAGGCTGCTGGTCGACCTCCAGCGTAGCACGGTCGACCGCACTCTTTGCAAAGCAGCGCTCGCCCCGCTCCAGCGTAGCAGGGTAGCGGTTCGCCAACGTTGCAAGTCCACGGTGTGCTAGCGCTGCAGCAAGTCGGCTGCACAGCGCTGCACCAGCAGGACAACGGTGCACCTGCTTCGCAGGTGCGCGCAGCTGGTTGGTGCGCACTTCCCTGTCATGTGCACAACGCAGACGCCTGGCAGACTCCACGCCTGGCAGACTCCACGCCAGTGACTGTGCCCACCAGCCACATCGACCTCGGGATACCACCCCCGAGGTCGGCCTCGCAGACTCCACCCTGGCGACACTCGCGCACGTCGCCCGGGTATCCCGATCGACCGGGCAACCACGCCTGGTCGGCTCACGCAGTCCACAGCTGGCCACGCATGCCCGGCGTCCCCAGTCCGGCGTCCAGGCGCCCAGGACGCCTTCCGAACCCCCAGGTCGACGTCCAGACGCCCAGGACGCCGACCAAACCTCCAGAGCGGCGTCCCTCCTCCCAGGACGCCGACCAGACACCCAGGTCGGTGTCTGGTCCCCCCGGGACGCCCAGGTCGGCGTCTGGACCCCCAGGACGCCGTGCATACGCCTAGGTCGGCGTCTGGCCTTCCAGAGCGCCGTGCAGGTGCCCACGACGTCGACCAGGCGCCCGGGTAGTCGTGGCGACGCCCAGCTCGGCGTCCAGCTTCCAGGACGCCGTCCAGGCGTCCGAGACGCCAACCAGGCGTCCAGGTCGGCGTACTCCTGCTCGGCGCCCTCCAGCAAGGCGCCTTCCAGCTCGGCGCCCTTGCAGTGGCCCCCGTGCCCACTGCTGCAGGTCGGCTGCAACCCCCGCCCATCCGACCACAAGGTTGGCTCCGCCCAAGCGAGAACGGGGCCTTACAACGCTCTCGTTGACACCTACCAGGGTCCACAACGCCATCAAGCATGGGGTTCGTCGTATCACGTCCGAGCTTGGTTACGTTGTGCAGCTAGAGGACTCCCACCCTCTCTCAGGTCGTCGCCCGGATATCAGCTGCCGTGACATCAGCTCTAGGACTACGTGGGCATTAGATGTTTCTGTTGCAGACCCCTAGCATGGTCCCCCAAACTCTAAGGGTACATTCCGCTGTGGAGACATGTCCCAATCGATGTGTCCCAATCGAGTGTACCGCTCCGAACCGAACTAAACCAGAGATGCGAAAATTTCGAAACTAGGGTGCAATTTGGTGTAATACGATGCAGTGTGGTAGAAACGATTGGGACACATCGATTGGGACATGTGTCCACAATGGAATGTACCCTAAGACTGCATCAGTAATCGGTTCAGCTGCATCTGCTTGCGAAACTGAGAAGCGGACCCTCTATGCATCTTTGTTACAGAACCGCCCAAACGTGAAGCTTCTTCCTCGTGTTCTCGAAACCTTCGGTTGCTTCAGCACGACATTTCTCAGCTTCATCAAAGACTACAGCAGACGAGGGGCGACTCGACTTCGTGACATGGGTGGTGCATTTAACCCAATTCCAGAGCTCTTCGAGACTAGCTACTTCAAGAGGATTTCCTTGGTGCACCAGCGTGAGCAGGCTCGAACCATCTGCCGTCGGACACAAATTCGTTACAGTGTTGACACACCCTCTGCCCCACCAGATCCCACCCCACCTTCCTTCGCTGATTTTGCATACCTTGGTGTTGGTTCTTGAGACCTCATTGGGGGTCTCAACATAGGGTTGCATTTGGGCCATTGCTAGTTAGCTAGCCTTTTGATGCTCAAATCCGTCTGTATCTTTTGTACACATGTACTTTGTAAATGAAGCAGAATACCAACAAATGCAGCTCTCTGTTTTGATCCTAGCTACAGGCAAGGAAGGAGAATCTGCAGTGCCACGGGTGACGCTCCGCGATTGCGCGTCGCACGAATCGCCTCGTAATACTACAAACGCTCAGCCGCGTTTCCAAAAAAGCACGCCATCATCAGTGGCACATCAGCATGCGAGAACGAGGTGTGGCGAGGGCAAGTGGCAGGCAACCAAGTGGCCGGTCACTCGCCGTGTGGTCCCCCGCGCGCTCGCTCAAGACCCGCCGAGCCGAGCAGGCCCAGCAGGTGGCTTGGCAGCGGGTTCATGACGACGAGGGCGCTGTCACCGTGACAGCGCGCGCGGACATCGACGCGGCGGATGGCGCGTAGCCCATTGGTAGCAGGGATGATTGTGGAGGCGACTCAAGGTCCGCGCAGTAGGCGGACGGGCAGGCGACACACCCTGATGCGGCACGTCGCCGCGCTTGCGCGTGTCACATCTGCAGCTCCGGTTCGACTCAGACGATGGGTTGGACTACGAGCGCCCCTACTCCGCACAGGACTCGCCGCGCTGCCGCCTGCAACCCGTGTAGTGCGGATGGTCGGGAGTTGCGGAAACAGGCGTGTGGGGAGCGGCGCTGGGGGGAACGGCGAAGGGGCGGAAGAACGGTGGGAAAGGGAGGGCGTAGGACGATGGGGCAGGCGGGGACGACGAGGGGCTATGGATGTGCGGAAGGGGAATTTATCCCGCGAGACAATTCGTAGGGAGCGATGGGGAGTGTGTGGTGCTGGCAGGTTGGAATGGGTGCTGCGTTCTCTGCGTTACGCCCTTCTTCCCCCTTTCCCCTCTCTGTCTTACACCCTTCTTCCTCTATTCCTTACTTCGCCTTACCCCTTTCTTCCGCCTTTCCACCCTCTCTGCCTTATGCCCTTCTTCTCCCTTTTCCCCTCTTCCTTCCACCCTTCTTCCCCCTTTCCTCTCTCTTCCCTACACCATTCTTCCCCCTCTCCCCTCTCTACCCCCCACACCTTCTTCCCCCACCATGCGTTCTCTCCCTTACGTCCTACTAAAACCCTTTTCCCTCTCTTCCCTACGCCCTGCTTCCCCCTCTATCTTCTATGCCTTACGCCCTTCTTCCCCCTTTCCCCTGTCTTCATTACACCCTTCTTCCCCCTTTCCTTCTTTGACATTCACCTTGCTTCTCCCTTTCCCCTCTCTTCCCTACACCATTCCTCCTCCACCATGCATTCACTACCTTACACTCTTCTTACCCCTTTCCCATCTCTTCCGTACACCCTTCTTCCCCCGCCTTGCATTCTCTGCCTTACACCCTGCTTCCCCCTTTCCCCTCTCTGCCTTAAGCCCTTTTTCCCCCCTTCCCTAGTCTCCCTTACCCCCTTCTTCCACGTTTCAACCCTCGGTGCCTTATGTCATGCTTCCCCTTTTCCCCTCATTGCCTTACACCCTTCTTCCCCTTTTCCCCTCATTGCCTTACACCCTTCTTCCCCTTTTACCCTCATTGCCTTACACCCTTCTTCCCCTTTTCCCCTGTCTCCCTTACCCCCTTCTTCCGCCTTTCCACCCTCTCTGCCTTACCCCCTTCTTCCGCCTTTCCACTCTCTCTTCCTTACACCCTTCTTCCCCTCTTTCTCCTCTTTCTTCCACCCCTCTTCCCCCTTTCCGCCCTCTGCGGCTCGCCCTGCTCCTGCCTTTCCCCTTCCTGCCCCTCTGCGCCTTCATCCCAAGTGCGCCCTTCCCTCTGCGCCCATGCCTCACTTCTCCCTCCCTTTGCTGCTCCCATGCCTCACTTCTCCCTCCCTTCTCCCTCCCTTTTCACCTTTGCTTCGATGCACCTTTGCTCCTATGCACCTTTGCTCCTATGCACCTTTGCTCTAATGCACCTTTGCTCTAATGCACCTTTGCTCCCATGCACCTTTGCTCCGATGCACCTTTGCTCCGATGCACCTTTGCTCCTATGCACCTTTGCTCCTATGCACCTTTGCTCCGTTGCACCTTTGCTCTGATGCACCTTTGCTCCGATGCACCTTTGCTCCTATGCACCTTTGCTCCTATGCACCTTTGCTCCAATGCACCTTTGCTCCGATGCACCTTTGCTCCGATGCGCCTTTGCTCCTATGCACATTTGCTCCTATGCACCTTTGCTCCTACGCACCTTTGCTCCTATGCGCCTTTGCTCCTATGCACCTTTGCTCCTATGCACCTTTGCTCCTATGCACCTTTGCCCCTATGCACATTTGCTCCTATGCATATTTGCTCCTATGCACCTTTGCTCCTACGCACCTTTGCTCCTACGCACCTTTGCTCCTACGCACCTTTGCTCCTACGCACCTTTGCTCCTACGCACCTTTGCTCCTACGCACCTTTGCTCCTATGCACCTTTGCTCCTATGCACCTTTGCTCCTATGCACCTTTGCTCCCATGCACCTTTGCTCCTGTGCACCTTTGCTCCTGTGCACCTTTGCTCCTATGCACCTTTGCTCCTCTGCACCTTTGCTCCTTTGCACCACTGCTCTCATGCTTCACAGCTCTAGTGCTTCTATTCCGCTTCTATGTTCATCTACTTCTCTCTACCTCTTTTCTGACATCCTGAAGTTTCAGCTGGCGTGCAAACGTGACGACCACCTCTATAAGGCCGTGGAGTTAGACGTCGTCGGTGACAGACAGTAGCGGTGCAAAGTGCACGGAGGGAAGAGGTCTAAGGGGAGGTCAGAGCATGGGGGTTGTGTTCCTGGCCGATGAAATCAGCGTGGCGTTGTGAAATCAGGCATTATTCGCTGCATGTAGCTTGTTAATCCTCAACATCGAGAAATCCTTCAACTCTTATTCCTGTGGCCACCAGGGTGCCGTTATTGTGTTTGTGTCGATGTATATCTTGATAGCAAGGAGGCCACGTCCCCGATATGTCTACGATGTTGATTGTCTGTCTAATGTTGACCACATCACAACAGTCTCACCCATCTTTGGCATGTAATTTGAGACATGGCATGTTTCATGCTTAGGGTGTTGTGTTGAACGTATATGCCTAGATCCATTCGTTTGATGGGGGCCATTGGGAATGTGTCAGGTTTTAATTTATCTTGACAATGTAGGATCTGCACAGACGGGCACACAAGAGCGACAATCAAGGCAGGGGGGCATGTGTAAGCGATATTGTAGTGAGTGGTGGTAAATGGGTGTAGGGGCAGCAACCAGGGCTCTGGCTAGAATTTAGCCCAGTCTGAAACCTAAGTCTCTAAAAAAATTTCGTCTGAGCAAAATATGAGCAACTCTTGGCGGTCTGTAAACTCAGACGAGCCAAAACTCACAGTTTGGGAATTCAGACGAACACACCAGAGCACTGTGTGTTCTGTACTATATGTATACCATACGTTTTACTCTTGTTTATAATAATATACCACTTCTTGTGCCACACAACATACTTTTAGAATCATTACTGAGGGAGGAAGGAGGAGGAAAGAAATCCCTAAGCTGAGTCACTAGAATCACTACTTTTGCTGCTGCTGCTGCTTTCTACAGTGTCCTCTTCATCGAAGGGGTTGTACAACAAGGGAGGTGTGGCCTTGGTCTTCTTGCCCCTGCTCTGCCATCCACCTTCCTCACCTTCAACCCTGGCGCTCTCCTTTGCTGCTGCTGCCACAGCTGCTGCCGCCTCCGCTGCTGCTGCTGATGCTGCTGACGCTTTCGCCGTGGCTTTTTCCTTCTTGGAGCGCTTAACGGGCCTTGAGCCTGCAGACATCACCACCTCTTTGACCGATCTGCGTTTCTTGCTGCAGCGCCAGAGCCTAATCAACTCGGGAAAATCCAGGTCGTACTTCAGCAGGGACACCGTCATCAGCCCTAACAGCTTCATGTCGCAGAGGTTGCCATGGAGCCAGCTCTTTATGATATTCTGCCACGAGAATCCGCGCTCGCACTCGACCGTCGATAGAGGAAGAACGGCCACAGCGATCCAGAGGTTCACAAGGTTCGGATATGCGTGCGTCCAATCGGGTGTGGAGAGCATCTGCTTCAGTCCCTCTTGAAACTCAATGTCGTTATGGTGCGTGGAGAGGATGGTGGTGAAGTTCTTCAACTCACGCTGTGCTTTCGCCCAGTCGACTTCTAAGGTGGGGTAGGGAAGGGTTTTGGGTGCACGTCATTCTGAGTGCATGTCATCGTAACGTGCTGCCGAGTGCTCGTGCTATTCATGTGTGCATTGTTTGTATGAGCATATGTCATTGTGCATGGCTTTTGGATATTTTCATTTTGTGTCTTTCTCCGAGTTTAAATGCTTGATCATGCAGTAGAAATCCAGAGCTTTCCAACGATACCAAGATCGCCTTATTCCGACCAAGATCGCCCAAGTTACAAGTTTTCCAAGACTTGGATTCCTTATTACCTTTTAAGGTTATATCTAATTTAGGTGATTACTTGGGACATGAATATAAAGGGATCTTTGGTTGGGTGGTTAAGGAAGGCAACTTTGACTTTTGGATTGGGGTGGCTAGAAGTTTCTAGCATGGGTTGCAAATATTGCAACACCTAGGCAAAATCCAACTAGATTGGATTTTGCATGTGACACCTCAAGGACCTCATGATGAGGGATGCATCCTTGTTGCATCATGATGAGGGTTGCATCCTCATGATGCATGCGTCCAATCGGGTGTGGAGAGCATCTGCTTCAGTCCCTCTTGAAACTCAATGTCGTTATGGTGCGTGGAGAGGATGGTGGTGAAGTTCTTCAGCTCACGCTGTGCTTTCGCCCAGTTGACTTCTGAGGTGGGGTAGGGACGGGTTTTGGGTGCACGTCATTCTGAGTGCATGTCATCGTAACGTGCTGCCGAGTGCTCGTGCTATTCATGTGTGCATTGTTTGTATGAGCATATGTCATTGTGCATGGCTGTTGGATATTTTCATCTTTGTGTTTTTCTCCGAGTTTAAATGCTTGATCATGCAGGAGAAATCCAGAGCTTTCCAACGATACCAAGATCGCCTTATTCCGACCAATATCGCCCAAGTTACAAGTTTTCCAAGACTTGGATTCCTTATTACCTTTTAAGGTTATATCTAATTTAGGTGATTACTTGGGACATGAATATAAAGGGATCTTTGGTTGGGTGGTTAAGGAAGGCAACTTTGACTTTTGGATTGGGGTGGCTAGAAGTTTCTAGCATGGGTTGCAAATATTGCAACACCTAGGCAACATCCAACTAGATTGGATTTTGCATGTGACACCTCAAGGACCTCATGATGAGGGTTGCATCCTTGTTGCTAGGAAGGTTCCTACCATCCTTCCCTAGCTCTTGGAGAACCCCTTCCCTCTCATGGTTCTCTTGGAGTCCCCAACACCAACTCTCTATGCGTTAATGTTTGTACTTCCTCCACCATTCTAGTCATGCAGCTGCTGGACGTTTTTACACAGTTCTCACTCTCTAGACCATCTTAACGACTGATTAAACTTGGAGATGGTAGCTAAGGCTAAGGCGCACAATCCTACAGAGCGGATTTGCGTTGAATTGAGAATTGAGTTCGTCGTAAGCTCTCAAAGTGACGGATCCTGGACAACAAGTGGTATCATTGCGGGTAGTCAACTTTGAGACGACAAATCGTCGTGAATTCTCAACCAATGTTGACAAGTGAGACCATTTTCTAGTAGCCCTGCTCGCAAAATCTCATTTGGTGGTCAAACCGTGTTCTAGTTTGAAGTATTCAGTCCGCGACGGCGATTTTTGTAGAATCGGATTTTCTGGCAGAATTCTCTCCAAACGAATTCTCAAGTTTTCACCGTTCATAAGGCCTCAATATGGTTGGTACGAGCTCCGAAGGTGCTAGTGACGAGATGGATAGAAGTAGAGAGGCTGGAGAGCAAGGGGGAGTTGCTGTTGGAGGAGTGGGGACTCACCAACCAGCCAACCCTACGCTACCCTCAACTTCTACACCATCTCCTACAATCGTAGATCCTGTGAAGGCTTTCTCGATTAAGAATTTCATGGGGGAGGACTACGAGCACTGGAGCTTCCGCATGAGGCTGATGTACACCCAATACAAGCTATTGGATCTGGTGGAGGGGAAGGAGAACATGCCCGGGGCCGCGGAGCTGAAAGGAGCGTGGATGAAGTGATCATTCGACGCGTACATGATCATGGTGCAAGCGGCTGGCGGACGACAACTTGACCACATCAAGGATCTCTTGGGTGATCCAAAGTGTGGCCCCAAGGCTTGGAGGAAGCTTCTGGATGTGCACTCACCGACACATGTTACCGGCATCGTGCTATTCGCGCGGCGGCTGCGCGACATCAAGTTCGTTGATAGAGAGCCCATGCAACCGGTGTTGGATGAGATGCGCGACATCTTCACGAAGCTCCAAGGTGGCGGTGTGATGTACCCGGAGCTCGTGCAATGCGTGGAGATCGTGATACGGCTGCCGGAGTCGTGGTCTGCCCTTACGATCAACCTCAACTCTCAACAGCCCCAGTGGAGCGTGGATTACATTCACGCGGGCATCCTACAGGAGGACTTGCGACGGCGGAGTGTGGAGCGTTCGGAGGAGGGGGCTGGCTATGGAGTTAGAGGTGGAAAGAGTGGCTTCAAGAAGAAGTGGAAGGGCAAAAACAAGGACGACCCTAAGGAGGATGGCGGCGGGGGTCAAGGGGAGGTGTGCTTCTACTGCAAGAAGCGCGGACATCGTTGGCGGAAGTGCTGCCAACGACCCAAGGATTGGACCCCGCCTTCATCAAGCAACCAGCATGGTGGCAAGAGGAGTGGGGGAGTCATGGGAGCTAGTGGAGAGGAGAAGGATGAGGAGAAAGGCGGCAAATCTGAGGAGCGGAAGGCCGGTTTCTTCTTCTTCGTGAACGAAGGCGCAACCGACCTCACTATGGCTGCGAAGGTTCTCTTACACCCCCTCACCCATTGGGTGATTGACTCAGGAAGCTCCTGGCATATGACTCCTCGTGCGGACCTACTCGATGAGATTCAGCCCGCACCCATCTTTACAGGCGCCAAGGCCAAGGTCATGGACATGGGATGCGCCAAGTTCATGGGAGCGGATGGAGAGCTCTTGGGGCTGAAGAACGTGCTGTGGGTGCCGGACTTGTGCGCGATCCTGATTTCTACCGGCCGGTTGGGAGATGCGGGTGTGAACACCGAGACGATTGGCTCGGAGCGCCATCGTGCTTGCAACGATGAGCGCCTCATTCGGGACCTGCAGTGGAAGGGAGATGTCCACAAACACATGTGGCAGATCCCGGTCCTCCCTTGGCGGAAATCGGGCAAGGCGGCACCCGCGGTATATATGGAGGAGAGCGTCACCGAGGAGGAGCAGCAAGGTGTGCAAGGAGAGGAGCTGATTGGAAGCGCGGCGGTGAAGGCGTCGGCTACCTCGGGCCAAGCGGATTGAGAGACTTGGCATCGGAGGCTTGCACACGCGGCTGTATCTACATTGGAGGTAATGCACAAGGAGATGTTAGAGACTAAGGATGGAGTCTACAAAGATTAGATGCATAAATTTCTCAAAATCGTTGGTCTCAATTTCTGGACAGAAAAGTTGAGTTCACTGTCGACAAAAAGTTCCTTGTCAAAACTTCACTAAACTCAGATATGTTGTAGCTCTAGTCCGTGGCTACAATTCCCAAGTTGAATCGTATGGAAATGAGAAATATGTTTCTAGTTATCAATTTTGGCGCACAGGGGGGTATGCTGCCATAAGAACTTAACTCAATAATGGGAGTCTCACAATTTTACACAAGAAAGTCAGAGTAACAATTATCCAGGTGGGAGGGGAAGGAGGACGAGAGGGAAGGTCCCAAGGAGTCCCCAACCAAGGAAACCCCATAAGCACACCAAATCCCTTCCCTATAGGAGCCCCACTTTTACTTTTGTCACTTTCCAACCCATGCCATCCACCTTGCCCAACTTGGCCACACTTGCCAACCTGGTTTGGCTCCTCCCAACCACTTGGCAGCATCTACAGTGATGTTGACGAATTTCCCAACCCCCAAAAGTCTATACCCCTTATCGAGTCAACCCCACAACTTTCCATAGTCACCACAACCAAATATCAAAAGCATACGAACTTCCAACGTTCGTAACTTTCTTGTTCGTGCTCCGATTGAACCGATACTTGGTTCGTCGGAAAGCTCTTGAGCAGAAGAGTCACTTCAGATATCCGCTCAAGGCAAATAACATTCACACACACTCAGAAAATCCAAACCACATCAAACACAAATTCTTGCACATGCTCACACCACGCATGCAACGCACGAACATGTGATGGGAGGCAGACAAACGTGAATGCAAGTGATAGCATCATATAACAAACTCCCCCTCTGGCTGAGAGGCTGTGCCATGTGAACATTCCTATGCTGCAGAAGTTGGTAAAGGATGGGTGCTTGAAGGGGCTGGAGGTGAAGGGGGGAGCAAAGGAGATTGGGAGCTGCCCTACCTGCCTTGAGACCAAATTCACGAAGTTTCCCTTCAGCAGCAGCACAGGACCAGCAAAGGCACCACTTGCACTAGTGCACATGGATGTGGTGGGCCCCACGAGGGCCCTTTCTCTCTCGGGCAGCCGCTACTTCTTGACAATTGTGGACGACCACACGCGTGCGGTGTGGGTGTACCCTCTCAAGACTAAGGGGGAGGTGGCAGCGGCTGTTCTTAAGGAGTGGATGCCGAGAGCACAAAGGGAGAGCGGACATAAGGTGAAGGTGATCCGCACCTACAATGGAGGAGAATTCATTGGCGCTGATTTTGAGGCGGTGCTGAAGAAGAAGGGGATCCAGCATCAGCTTACGGTGCCCTACAACCCTCAGCAGAATGGCGTGGCTGAGCGGTTCAACCGGACCCTGTAGGAAGGTGCTCGCACTCTCCTTGGGCGTGCAGGGTTGCCGGATTCGTTTTGGGTGACTGCACTGCGGCAGGTCGCCCTTGTGAAGAACAGGGTGCTGGCAGCTGTGGGGGACAAGCAGTGGGTTCCCTACACCAAGTGGTATGGGAGTGCACCAGCAGTCAACATGCTCAGAGCCTTTGGCTGTATGGTGGTGTTTCATGTGCCTAAGGAGAAGAGGGGAAAACTGGAAGCTTCTGGGAGATGGGGTGTGCACTTGGGGCTTGCTAAGGATCACAAGGGCTGGCTGATTTGGGACTTGACCAGCCAGCAGCTGACTGTGTTGAGGGATGTGAAGTTCCTTGAGTCCTTGTACTACAAGGAGTGGAAGCAGCAGCAGCAGAAGCTTCCCACTACACCGCTGATCATTGAGGCTGATGAGGTGCAGCGGACTTCGAGGCAAGTGCAGGTCACTGTCTCAGAGGAGGAGATTTCTGGGGTGACTGAGGATGGGGGAGAACCTGAGGTGGAGGAGCAGCAGCAGCAGAAGCAGCAGCAGCAGCAGCCACAGCAGCAGCAGCAAGGTGCTCCACAAGGTGCCGCGCGTCCGGCTGACCGTCCCCGGAGGGAAGTGCGCCCTCCTAACCGGCTGACCTATCCGAGCTTTGGCAAGCCAAAGGTGGTACGGGCTGGGAGTGTGGTTGAGCAGTGTGATAAGGATGAGATAGCACACTGCTACTGGGCAGCCGTCCCTGAGCCCAAGACGTTAGCCAAGGCATTGAGCGGGCCCGACGCTGAGAAGTGGAAGCAGAGTGTGAAGGAGGAGTACGACTCACTGCTGGAGAATGAGACGTGGGAGCTGTGTGAGCTGCCTCCTGGGAAGAAGGCAATCTCTTCGAAGCTGATCTTCAGGCACAAGTATGGACCTGATGGGGAGCTGACGCGCTACAAGTCGAGGCTTGTCCCTAAGGGGTTCCAGCAGACAAAGGGGAAGGATTTTGATGATATCTTTGCTCCTGTAGGGAAAGGCACTACACTGAGGACGATGTTGGCAATGGCTGCAAACCGTGGCTGGAAGATCAAGCAGATGGACATAATCACTGCATTCCTCAATGGAATCATTATGGAGGAGCTGTACATGCTGCAGCCTGAGGGGTTGGATGGTGGGAGTAGCAGGGTGTGCAGGCTCAAGAAGGTCATCTATTGCCTGAAGCAGGCTCCTCGCGCATGGTACCACAAGCTGGAGGAGACACTGCTGGTCGGGGGGTTCAAGAAGAGCGAGTGTGATCACAGCCTGTTCCTGCTGCAAGAGAAGGAGCACTTCCTCATGCTCCTGGTGTACGTGGACGACATCCTGCTCTTCTCTGAGTCGTCTGCAATGATTGAACGTGTGGAGGAGATGCTGGAAATGCAGTTCAAGTGCTCCAAGATGGGAGATGTGAAGTACTACCTTGGGATGCATGTGGAGAGGGACCTTGACAAGGGAGTGTTGAGGTTGCACCAGAGAAAGTATTGTGAGGGGCTGGCTGAGAAGTATGGGCTGCAAGATGGAGGAAAGCCAGCCACCCCACTGCCTTCGGGGTTCACTGTGGAGCCCTGTGCTGATGAGGAGGTGGTGGGTGAGAGTGACAGGAAACTTTTTCATTCCATGGTTGGGGCACTCAACTATGCGGCTAACCACACACGGCCTGACATTGCCTTTGCAACATCTAGGCTTGCCAGTGTGGTTTCACGCCCCAGTCATGAGCAGCTGGAAGCGGCCAAGAGGTTGGTCCGCTATGTGAGTGCAACGGCATCAGTGGGTTTGGAGTACAGTGCTGTGAGGCAGAGGTTGCAGAGGGGTGCAGCTGATTTGAGCAAGGGGGAGATGCTCCTGACCTGCTACACTGACGCTAGCTTCAACTCGGTGAAAGCGGATGGCACCAGCATTGGAGGCTATGTGTGCCTCTTTGGAGGTGGTGCAGTGAGCTGGCGCAGCAAGAAGCAGAACGAGGTGGGGCTGTCCTCGTGTGAGACCGAGTACATGGCCCTTCATCATGGGGCAAAGGAGGTGGTGTGGCTGAGGCGTTTGCTAGAGGAGATTTGGGTTGGTCAAAGGGAGCCGACTGTGATTTTCTGTGACAATGAGTCGGCGGTGAAGCTTGCGAAGAATGCCTGTCTTCATGGCTTGACAAAGCACATCAGGCCAAAGTGGCATTGGACAAGGAGGCTCCTGGACAAGGAGGTGCGGCTGGAGATTGTGAAGACCCAGCAGCAGGCAGCTGACATTCTCACCAAACGCCTGGCAGAACCTGAGCATTGGAAGGGCATGAAGCTTGCTGGGATGAGTGTGCATTGAGGGTGCATGCTTGAGCTATGGCATGTGGGATGATGGTTGACAGCCAGAGGGGGAGTTTGTTATGTGATGCTATCATTTGCATTCACGTCTGTCTGCCTCCCATCATGTGTTCGTGTGTTGCATGTGTGAAATGAGCGTGCGCAAGAATTTGTGTTTTTCTGTGGTTTGGATTTTCTGAGTGTGTGTGAATGTTATTTGGCTTGAGCAGATATCTGAAGTGACTCCACTGCTCAAGATCTTTCCGACGAGCCAAGAATCGTCGCGATCGGAGCAATATCAAGAAAGTTACGAACGTTGGAGTTCGTATGCTTTCTGTACTTCGGTTGTGGCGACTATGGGAAGCTGTGGGGTTGACTCAATATGGGGTACAGACTTTTGGGGGTTGGGAATTCGAACCCATCACTGTAAAATGCTGCCATGTGGTTGGGTGAAGCCAAACCAGGTTGGCAAGTGTGGCCAAGTGGGTTGAGGTGGATGGCATGAGTTGGGAAAGTGACAAATGTGAAAGTGGGGTTGCCTATGGGGAAGGGAATTGTGTGGCATGGGGTTTCCTTGGTTGGGGAATCTCTTGGGACCTTCCCTCTCGTCCTCCTCTTCCCTCCTACCTGGTTTAGTGCTACCCTAACTCTCTTGTGTGCAACTTTGTGGAACTTGTGAGAACTGTTTTTGTTATTGAGTTAAGCATGTGGCAGCATACCCCCTAGTGCACCGAAAATCATAACTCGAGATTTACTCCACCATTTGATACGATTCAAATTGGAAAAGATAGCCCTGGTTACAGGCTACAACATACTCGAGTTTGAGACAATTCCAACGGTGCTATTTTAGTCGACGATTCTGTCCAGAATTTCAAGCCAACGATTTTGAGAAATTTAGGCTCCTAATCTTCATTGACTCCGTCCTTAGTCTCTAACAAGGAGAAGTGCATCCATGGGTTGCAACTGCAAGGAGATGGCGCTCACTATGGCAGCTGCAAAGCGTGCATGCAAAACTAGTTTGCGCGGTTCCCGTTTCCACGTGCGGAGGGATCAGTGAAGGCGCCACTAGAGGTGGTGCATATGGACCTGGTGGGTCCTATGAGGACTGAGGGGACTGGGGGAGTGCTGTACTTCCTCACCATGGTGGACGAATGGAGCCGTTTCAAGTGGGCACATCCCTTGTCCAAGAAGATCGATGCTGCAGCGGCGATCAAGAAGGATTGGTTGCCGATGGTGGAGCGGCAAGCGATGCGGCTGGT